GCCTTTTATCATCTACACATATAAGTCTGGTCCATGAATTCTTATCCTTCCGGCAACTCATAGCCCAGTGCCCGCGCATATCTCTGCCCCTTCCTTCATCTTTCTGGTCTTCTTACCCAGCACAGTCTCAGGTCAGCTCTTAAATTCATACTTACTCATTAGCAGTGAGAATAAGTAATGATTTATGACATCATACTGTCTTCTAGGGAAGATATTCCCAAGTGTTTGCCTATTGAAGTAAATGTTATTTTATTATCTTTAAAGTTTTAGTAATTTCCCATTTTTCTTCCGATAAAGACCAAGGATTGGCAAGCTCTTTTTCTGGAAGGGTGAGATTGCAATATTTTAGGGTTTGTGAGCCATACACTTTCTATGCTGCATATTCTTTTTCTTTTAACATTTAAAAATACAAAACCCGTTTTTAGCTCGGGAGCTGTGCATAAACAAGCTATGGCTGCGCTGGACTGACCAGCTGCAGTTTGCTGATTCTGAAAAAGATGATGCTCGTGTGGTTTAAAAAGACTCGGGTGGCCTTGTCCTGCCCACAGCTCGATGCATCTCATGCTGCAATCCCGGACCCCCTGGCCAGTCCCGTCACATGGGGTTTTTGGATTTTTCTGGCCTATTCTGCTCTCTGCAGCAACAGAGCCCGTGTGCATGGAGGTCCTTCTGCCTGGAATCTCCTCTGCCTCCCCACTCACACTTCATGACAATCACATTCCCAGTAAGGCTCCCCCAGGAAGTCGTCCTTGGCCAACCTGAGATCTTTGAAACAGGCTCTCCTCTTGCCACATTCCTCTGCTTTTCATCTTTTCTTGCAGGCGCCAGTTGGCGTGTGTCAATATGATTGTTGAACATCCATCTTCCCCACACACGGTGTGCTCTAGAAAAGCAACAGTTTCAGCAGTGTCCTCTCTGGGAATCGGGGGAAAGAAGCCCTGGTTGGTGGCGTTTGCCAATTCTCACGGCGTCAACACTCCCTCACGGCCAAGTTAATGCTCCCCACTTGATACTGCTGCATGTGGAGCTGGGGAAAGACCTGCAGGGTCAGACCTCAGGAGCCAGTGCCCACCCCCGGCCACCACTCAAGCTGAGTCTTCTGTAGCTAGCCCTTGAGTCCCCACCATCCAGAACAGTAGCCAACAAAGAACAAGAAACCCAGAAATGACACTTGGATGACTGAATAGACGGGGAAGATATCAGGATACGGAACAAGGAAACAGAGGAACAAAAGGGAGAAATGCTGCATGACTCAGCTCACACTGCGGCCTGTCCACTTTTTATCTTCCAGAATGACCTCAGGGTGTTATAACTTAGAAATAGATGACATGCGAAGACAAATTTATGATGACAAAAAAAATCTCATTATACAGTATATACATTCAAGGGATCATGCATATTTTAGTTTATAATGAAAGGTTTTTATACTGAAAATGCTAATGGAAAAGTCAGAGCAAAGATGTCAGTAATGGAAAACTTTAATACTGTGATAATATCTAAGAAGCAGCAATTGGTTTGAGTAATATCCTTATTTTAATCTTGGAAATGAGATGTGAAGGAAGGGACGGGGAAGGAGGACCACAGCTCTTCCATTTGGGAGACGTCTTGTGGCCCGTGTCCGTGTCTAATGCAAATTTCCAAGACGCCATTGCGGGTGGTGTGGGCTTGGTCTGGAGAACTCGCACAAGGCAGAGCTGGCACTGCCCAGCGCCTGGGATAACGCTGTCTCTACCCCACCATTCCCTCTTCCTTTCTCTTTTATTGCCAGAGTCTTTCACGTAGCATTTGCGAATTGACTTTTGTATCCTCTTTATTAAAAAATAATATAAAATTCCATCAGTTTCCCTAGAAGCAAACTCTGAGACAAGGATTTGTGCACACTTGCTTTACGAAGGAAATGCTCCCAGGAGAACCCAATAGGAGCCCAGGGAAAGCAGGACAGGGCAGGCAGAACCCTAAGGAGGTTTCAGGTGAAGTCACAGGGACGGGAGCTTCCACCTGGTCCCATGGGGGACTCTGGAGTGTATACAGTGCCACTGACCTTGACCCAGCAAGAGGCAGGGGACCAGGGCTTTCATCCTCCAGCATTGACAGACTCCAAGCAAGGGCCACCTCCGAGGGACGTAATTCTCAGGCATTTTCAGCCCTTTGTACCTGTGGGCCAGGTAACACCAGAAACTAAAAAAGACTCACATGAGAAAAGTTGCAGGTACAGATTGTTAAAACCCAAAGCACACAGAACCCAGGATTAGGTTAGATGGGAACGGTAAAAGGAATGAGTGGATTTGGGTGGAATACCAACATTGTCTGCCATGATTTTCTACCTAAAAGTCAATGTCTGTCATTCAGATGACCTTTAGAAAGTGCTTCCAATTGTGTAGAACATTCCAAAGAAAGGGTCATTTCTTTTCTGAACTTTCTGAAGAAAGGGTCATTCAGACACTAGATTAGCCCTGTCTCTCACTTTACTTTTGTTTGCAGAAATTTTACCAATTTATGCTTTAGTGTACCATCTGGAAAAACCCAAGTTGGAAATGCAATTTCACTCTCTGCTCTCCCCCACCCACCCCTCCACATTACCCCAAACGCTCACGCAGGCGCCAGCAGCCAGGCGCCCGTGTGGGAGGCTGCAGTGAAGTTTGGTTGTTGGCACGCTTTTTAAGGGCCTATCATAATATATTGGTTTTCTCTTCTGTAAAAAAAAAAAAAAATACAGGTAGCTTTAAGATGCACCGACTTGCATCTCAGATGTGTATCTCTAAATAGTTCTAATGCTCACGGGTCAATGTCGACATTGATCTACTTTGTCTACAAAGTCTATTTCGATCTCCCCACGTGGATGGAAAAGCTTTCGTATCTAACGCTGTTGTTTCCACATCTCTACTTTGATTTATAGACATATCGTGAAACTTAAGAGTTGGCAGAAGACCCTAAAGGCAAAGCTAATTTCAAAGGATCTTGTTACAGAAATATCCCAGCTTTGCTTCTCAACAACATATTTGAAGCATCCGAGGCTAAGATCTCAAGTAAGCTCTGTATAATGTGCTGACCTATGTTTGCAGAGGGGGCGGGAAGTTGCTTTAGTGGTCTTCATTCTCAGAAGGATGCCCGTCCTTGCACTGAAGGAAGAGGTGAGGATGTATAACGTGGGGATTGGGGAGACATCCTGCAGCCGGATCTCCTGACCCCTTTACTTATTAGCAGGGCAACCGGGACAAATGTCTACCTTCTTAGAGGCCAGGTTTCTCCTCCATAAACTGAAAGGAATCACATCACTTTATTCATTAGAATACTGTGAACATGACATGAGGTAAGACATAAAAAGCTCTTAGAATCGTGCTTGGCACATTAAAAAAAAATACCCAATAAAGGTTAGTTGTTGCATCATGCTGGAAATAGATGCAGGAGAATCCCAAAATAAGATTTATCTTATTCTTTTGGGAAAGATGTCCTTTTTGGCCTTGAGAGGTGGCCACTCGAGGTGGTCCTGCAGTGCCTCAAGTTTGGTTTTTGTTCTTGGGTTTCTGAGCTTTGGTCTTGGACGACGTGGTCCTGGTCTGTGTCTGAGCTGAGCTGGGGCTGTGTTTTCTGAAAGGACATGTCAGGCTGTCACTGATGGCCAACAGTTTTGGCTTTGTCTGTTTAAAGGAATCCCTTTCTGGTGGGACAGTTTAGATTTTGAATCCAATGCACACAGGAGTGCACACAAGTGGAAGTTGTTGAGAAATAAGAAGAGCTGTCCAAATTAAGGAGGTTTTATTCCTTTTCCTGCACAAGAGGACTAGACTGCTAAAAGATACCTCCAAATCCACACAGATGGAGTCAGCCAGGAGGTATTTGAGACACACAGAAGAGGCTGAGTCCCTCCTGCACTTCCCTTTGGTTCCCTTCCATGCTGTGGGTGATGGCCAGCAAAGCAGTGAAGGAGGATGGATTTGGGGCTCCCCTATGCTGGTAGTAGCCACACCTGTGGGGGAAACTAAAACATTGGACAGGTGCCATGCCAGGAATGCTTCCGTGTTTACAAGTTTGAGAGAGCCCTGGGCCTTTCCCTGGGCGACCACTCTCTATCCTCCCTACAAAACCTGCCCAAACTCAATTGTGATGCTGCTTTCTCCACGGGGCTCCCAAGTCAAGTGCTACTCACTTTTGTTGATAGTCACCTATCGATACTCACCTTTACTGATACTCACCTTTGGGGAGGAGGGGGAGGCTAGCTGAGTGGGGCTGTGTCTACGAACACCAGAAGTGATGTCTGAATAGTCCAGGTCTGCGTAAACCCTGTGTCCCCTTGGCTGGAACTCTGCCCCCTCCTTGCTCATACTCATGGACACATAAAATTCAAAATTTTTTCTCATCCTTGTTTCACCTGTGTCTCCATTTACTCACTTTGAAATGAAACGAATCGATAAATCAGCTAAAATTTTTGTAATGTAGAGTAATGTGATCCTATTTGAAATGTTTATTGTTTACTAAACAAGTTATTTTAGCATAAAACAAAGCAAAACATCGACAGGGCCAACAAAACGGGTTTCAATAACTCCATTTATTAAGTCATTGCCAACCACGTCTCTCAAATCCACCAACTCAGTACGTTCTATTTCTAGCACCATTATATAAAGGATACTTCTGAGAGCACAGATACCCACACAAGTAAACTTTTATAAACCTCTAGCTTAGTTGTTCACAATCCTGGTTGCATGTTAGAATCTCCTGGATAATAAAAGAAAAGTAGAACGAGGAAGGGAGGGAAGGAAGGAAACCGACTCCCGACTCCACTCAAGGACAATCAGGAATCCGTAGGGCGGTGCCTGGTCATTGGTTGATTTGTGAAGTTCCTCCAGGCGATTCTGATGAGGGGCAAGGTGGATACCACACTAACCAGACACAAACTTCCCTTTAACCTGCTGTATTTGTCTCCTGTAACAGACAGAGTGTAAGTTCTGATAGTCATCAAATTCCCTTCTGTATCGTACACGCAAAATGGACCAAGGATAAGCATGTCTTCTCTGGACACGTGCTCTGACAATCAGACTGAAAGGTACCGTCCTTGGCTTTAGAATTAAACATGAAAAAGTGATCGATATTGCCAAACTTGCAAGAGTTCTGGAAGTTCTCAGGTGTTAAATATTTACAAAAGGCTATGAAAATTCAAATTTCCAGTGATTCGCCAAGATACGCAGATGAGATATTCCAAAGCGAGATCTCCCTATGCAGAACGTACAAAACGTCAGGAGCTCAGCTCACGACCATATCACATTAGAACTATTGAGAAGCCTATGCAGGAGAAGGAATCTTTCAAGAAAAACACACAGGCTTGCCACATTTTCATGCAAGGTCCAGGTGCACGGCCTTCTGGAAGGTCATTGTGGTCCCAGGTTAAGAATTCCCAACGTAAGAATGTTTTGTCCCCACTTCACAGAGAGAGCAAAGTCAGCTCAAAAGAGACCTGGTTGCTGTTACATCTTGGCCAGTGGAGGAGACCTAAGGAAAAAGAGGAAATCTAATTTTATAGAACAACTACATAAGGTTACAAAAAGAGTAAAACTAGATGAAGTAAATAGATCGCTTATGAAATTATTTTTGTTGGTGGTGTTGCAGATGGATCTCATGGGAAGAACTTAAATATATGGAGAGATTTGTTAGGTATTTCTGATAACGTAACTCCAAAAACAAAAGTATGGGGCTGGGTGTTGAGAGAAGTCTAGCATTCCAGTGGAAGGAAGGGTTTCTCAGTTTTAGTTGACGCCAGGGTACCTGGAAGGAAACAGGAGTAGACCGTGATGCGGGGCGGTTGGTGTAGGGTCACCTTACTGTATTTGAGGAGTCACTGCTACGTGGGAACTCCCATGGCCCCACGGTCAGCTTCAACCAACTCCGTCCTATAAATCTCCCTTTCTTTGTGACGAAAAATGGAAGGTGCGGTCCAGCACAGCCAAAAGAGAGATCATCCCATCTCATCCAGGGGAGAGTCGTACCAAAATTCTCACGAATGCCAGACATAGAAACCAAGGTGCATTCTACCATCCCATCCCCAGTGTCCTCTAGTTGCGGATAATGACGTCGGTTAGGGGCTCCGAAACAACTGCACGTGGCTTATGGAAAGAAAGGTTGTGGAAGGGAAAAAGTCCACAGCGACCAAAGCAGTTTTTTCCAATTCCTATCACAGCTGCTGCTTCTGAAAGAGCTGAATGTCTTCCTTTCGGGAGCCAAGAAAGAGTGGGTCTTGCAGGTTCAAGAAACAGGTGTGTTCTTTTGCCCATGGTCTGCTCACAGCCCGCCACAGCCACTCCTGTTCCACGCGAGGGGTGGCAGATTAGTTAAGCTCCGCAACTGCGGTTCCTTCTCTCGGCAGTTCTGATCTCATTACTCTGCTCCCTCCTCCTCCTCCCCTTCATCCTCCTCCTCCTCTCTCCCCTTCCTCCTTCCTCTCTCCTCTCATTGGAGTCATATTGCAATGTTCCATCTCATCCCTTACTTTACAAAGAGAGCGTAATGGAGCAATCACCCCTCCTCCCATAGGTGTGGAAGTGCAGGGGATGTCTTTTGCTCTCTGTGCTACAGGAGATGCCTGTGCCATGGGGGTCCTGGGGGGAGGTCATGGGATTGCCGTCGCCGGAGATGAGACGGAAATGGGACAATTAAAATCATCAACTATAGCTGAACAACAACTGCCTAAAACTAAGAACCCACCCTTTAAAAGCTCTGCGTTTCTGCTTATTATTAAGACAAGGACATTTTTAGATAGGAGTCTCCATTCTCCTCATTTGCCAACAAATTAATAAATCTCTCCTTCTCCTCCAATCTCTTGTCCTCGTTCTTCTGATGTGGCCTCGAGGACGAGTGTCGAGCTTTCAGTAGCAAAAGCTCCCTGGAAGCCCCGCTATCCTTTGTCTGAGCTTCTTACTGAGAAATCTGGATAGGTTGGATGGTGTGATTAAAAGTGTTTCCATAGCGTTGTCACCTTGTCCTCCTAAAACCTTGTTCTCCTAAACGTCAGGGTTTGGTGATCATTTTGCAAAGACGTACAATCTGAATCTTTCGAGATGGATCTGATAGGTAGACGTTGCTTTGGTCACTAGGGCTTACGAAGCGCCTCTCTCAGCTGGCGCCTGTGTCGGTTCTCACCTACACACTCTCTTCTCCCCTCAGGGAGCAGCGGGCACCAACCCTGCCTTTTTCCACCTGTCACATAGAGGAGCAGATATTGTGTAAAAACTGGCTATGAGGAGGCAGAAGAGGCAGCGGCCAACTAAACTAACTTAAATAGCTGCAAAAATAAATCCTGAAAACCCAGGTTGAATTTGTTTCCGGGTGCCCGTAGGAAAATGGGATGTCTGCAAACTAGTGTTTGTCACAATTACTCCTGTCTCCAAGTAACATCTGGCGACTTCTCCATGCTCATCATCAGGAATCCCTTGGCCCTGCCGTCTGCTTCTTGCCTTGCCTCTGTTCCTCCGCAATCCTGCCCCACCACCGCCGGGGAACGAGCCACAGCGCCCTCCGACGCCCTTAAAACCCCGTGCACCCGACTTCAGCTGGCTGCGGCTCTGGGAAATCCAATATAAGTAGCACAGAAACTTATGGGAGTGAGGGAAGGAGTCCTTGTGGAGAGTGGAAGGACCCATTTAAGAAACGCAATCACTGTTTCCCGTCATTATCCACCAACACCTGCTCGCGGGCAGCTGAGCCCCCCGGGGCAGAGGGGGGTTGGGCACCTGCAGGGACGGCGTGTGAACCGGGGCCAGTGCTGCAGAGGATGGCTTTTCCCGTTTGGGGATTGCATCTCTGAATGCTGCTCACGGGGATCGTGTAAACACACACGTGCGCACACAGGGTACACGGAGAAACAGCCAAGTGCCACCTGTTACCTGCCGAGTGTGGCCGTGCCACAGCCCCTCAAAGTTGTCCTCCTCTTTTTCTTCCCTGCAGTGCGGGTGGCGCCTCCCACGAAGTCATGCAGATCGACCTAGAAGTAGAAGAGCCCAGTGACCTGCCGGCCACTCAGCTGGTCACGTGGCAGGTGGAATACCCGGGGGAGATCACGTCCGACTTGGGGGTGTCCAAGATCTACGTGAGCCAGAAGGACCTGATCGGGATCATCCCCCTGGCCATGGTAAGAAAGCCCCTGCCTCGGGCTGTTGCTGCAGAACTCTGGGAAGGGGACGGCTCTGCACGGTGACCAAAGCCGGGGGGAAAATGTCAGTGAGTCGAGAACCCAGATAGGGGAGGGACTGAACCACAAAGATCACTGCCGTTAGCTAATTCTACAACATACGTTTTTCTAAATAATATTCATAAAATATCATTTAGAAAATAATCAACTCCAGGTATCAGTTTGGGTCTGCCATTGCGTGAAAATTATTGACGATTTGAGACGTGTGTTTGCATCCTACAACGTAGGCTATTCGAAGGATCTCAAACACACACAACTGCGGGGACCACGTCACTCAGGTGTGCACCTGACGTGTGCTGAGGGGGTTGGCCAACACCTGCCCCGCCTAAAGGCCTCAGCCGATGTTTGCCATGCAGGAAAGCCAAGCCGCATTCCGAAATTTTAAGATCTACTGATTTTTCAAGAGAAGCCGCAGATAGAGTTCTAATGTGAAACATCAACTCATTTGTGTTGGTGACTTTTTTTTTTTTTAATTTAAAGCACTACATAGGAAAGAGTTAACTATATTCCATTCATAGGTGATCTTGAAATTGTCATCTAGGGGATTTGGGACTGAAAATCTGTCCATGCATTTCCTAGGATTTGTGGGACAGAGATGGGCTTTCGGGTCTCCAGCGGACACACTTAGCCCCTACCTGGGGGACGACCGCTCCCTCACGCGCACCTAATCAGAACACGCCTTGCCCTGCAGAGCCCGCCCTTCCTGGGCCCCTCCAAAGGAATACTTGTCATCACCGTCGTTGTTTTAATTTGACTTTTCACAACACAAATACTCGGGTATGGTAGTCTGCCGACAATAACTTTAGTTTTCTCCCGTGACGAAATTACTTTTCCTATCAGAAGTGAAGTATGAGTTGACTGCTCTAGGTTCCCCCTAGACCATCTATTAGAAAATACTGACAGGTGTGTTATGTGGTGCTAAAAAAGCTGCAGAAATCAGTCTTTCAATCAAAGGCAACGTGGACAGTTGCCTGGTGACACTAACTCGGTGGCTGTGTTGTTTGTTAGGAGATGAAAAGGCGTTTGGGATGCTTTGGTTGATCAGGGCTCTTATTAACTATTTCATTTTAAAGGCACTGAGCCTCCCCGACACATTATTTCATGCGTGACAGAGTGCTTCTTATTTGGGGCTGTCAGTGCTTCTGTTCCTGGGCATGGCAATGAGTTTGTCTTGAGTAAGTGCTTATTTGACTTCACTCCTGTTCGGCACCTTTGGTGGGATGCGCTGTTGGCCGTACTCCCTGGATAGCTCCCACCGCGCTCGGCCCGGGCCAGTCTACTCTGTGTCCTGCACTCAGCATCTATCCCGTCCCGTTGCCTATTCCAAACCCCACTGTTCCTCGCAGCCCATGTGAACTCCCTCTCTCCCGAGAGCCCTCTCTCTGCCCTCTGTCAGCCTCTGAAACGTTTTCCGTCCTGCTGCACCTGCTCTTGCTGTGTTACGTGTAATGCTGCAGGATTGTATAAATGGTGGAGCTAGAAAAAAAATATCTCGGCTGAGACCCGGCTGACCCACGTACCAGTTAGGAACTGCATTTGGCTGAAAGCAACAGAGCTCACACACCCTACCCCACCCTCCAACCAGTGGCGGCTTAAATGCAAATGTGTTTTCTTCTTTCAAATAAAGAAGCCCCTGAGATGGGTGGTCTAGGGTGGGAACAGTGTTGCATGACATCCGAGACCCAGGCCCAGCTTTATTTCTGCTCCTATAGTCAGGTGCATGTGTTCTACACTCATGATTACTTCATGGCCCAAGGAGGTTGCTGCATCACCAGCCATTGTATCCGTAGTCTGCAGACCAGAAAAAGTAAAAAATGCAGAAGACCATGCAGGGCCAGTGTCTTTTCCTTTGTAAGAAACCTTCCCAAGAACCCAGCATAATATTTCTGGTTATATCCAATTGGCCACAACTTAGTCATATTGCCACATTTGGTTGTGAGGAAGGGTGAGAAGTGTAGTTTTTAACATGACGGGTTGCTCAGATTCTGTTACAAGGAAACAAGAGGAGAACAGGTGCTGCAGGACAGTGAGCAGTATCCGCAGCACTCAGCCCTGGTGTCCACACGAGGACACCGAAGCTCAGAGAGGTCACCTGAATGTTTCCCATCCTTCATTGGTCTTTAGGAGCCTCCTAGGAAGAAGAATAGCATAACTAAATCATAGCCCCCTTGTACTAGTTGTGCAACCGTGCTTAACTTAATTGTGCCTCAGTTTCCTCATCTGTAAAGGGGAAAAAAGATACCTACTCACACGGTGGTTGTAAGGATGAAACAGTGACTCAAGGGTATTTATGAGAGAGCCCAGCCCAGAGCAAACATGCAGGAAGTATTAGCTGTCATTACGATTACTTAATTACTGAATGCAAAGACACGAACAATACCCCGGCAACAATGCTGTGAGTTCTTTCAGGAAAGGGACTTGCCCACAGCCCCGTATCTCCGTGTCCGAAGAGTGCAAGGCGGTGCATAGATGCTCACTGGTTCTTGAGCCGAGTGAATTGGATGTACACACGTGCCGAATTGAGTTTTTAGCAACACTCTCTGAGCGGCGTCTTCTGGAACTAAGAGTGAGGAGTCAGAGTCCTGACTCACCCGTCTTTTGTCTCGGGAGTGGCTGAGTCCTCTTTGCAGAGACAGCTGCCTCATTTTAACGTCGACTTGGTTGGTAAAAGAATGTTGCTTTGGGGGTGGGGGGAGGCGGGTGTTACCATCATGAAATTACTTTGTTTTTGTTTGTTATCGTAGATGTGTATTGAGAGATGCTTGCAAGAAATCTGGCATCTATGCCTCCATCGATTGATCGGTGGATTCATGTCACAAATCCCTGAAATGTGAGGGAAACAGGAAGGAAGCCCCCTCCGTGTGAGTTGAGGTCAGAGTCACGCGGGGTGCGGAAGGTCGCCTGTGTTGTCACGTGGTTCCTGCCACGGGAAGCCACTGAGTGCACTCAGCAGGGGCGTCACGGGGACTGACCTGTGTTTTCGGGAGACCATCTGGCTGTGGGTGCAGAGTGGATTTAAGAGGGCAAGGTGGCCTCCCAGAGAGTCAGGGGACTGCACTCCGGCTGCTGGAGCTAAAGACCCCATAAAGCAGACCTGAAGAGCTTGACGTTTCCCTTCTCTAAATGTCCTGCCTGAGCGTGAGCAGCCTCGGGGCTTCATAAGGTGGCCTCTGTCTAGGCTGCGGCTGAGTGTCCCCAAGGATATTGGCCGTGGCCCCGTGACCCAAGTTAGTGACAACCGTATGCACGTTGCAGCCAGCAGGCATGGGCCGAGGGGGCGAGGGGAGGTGTGCGCCTCCCCACCCTGAGTTCTTCACCTCTCCTCCCGCCCGGCTACCCGGGAGCTCGGCCAGGCGGCCGCACCTCGCCGCAAGGGAGGCTGCGTGTGCAGCCGGCAGCGCACGACAAGGGAAGAAGGAGGGAGAGCGCGCGGGGAGAGAGCTGGTGCTGCCCTGGGCTTGCCGGGGTGCTGAGATCGCCGCGGTGGGGTGTCGGTGCCGTCCTTAGATGGTCAGGCTTTCCGGCGGGTTGCGTGTCAGGGTGAAGGGAAGGCAGGAAGGAAGGATGCATCCCGGTTTTAGACCCAAACGGAAAGTTCCCCGTCCATCTCCATGACAGCACCGCACACAAGTGGAATTTAAGAGACTTTCTATCCTAAAATACCCCGCGGCTTACATTTTTGTATGGTAATCTTCGCACTCATCTCTACTTGATTCCTTGAGGTAGACTTTAAAAATAAATGTGAATCCAAGGATGTGAATCCAAGGATGTGTGATGTTATAAAATGTTTTTTTTTTGTTGTTATTGAGACAGAGTCTCGCTTTGTTGCCCTGGCTAGAGTGAGTGCCGTGGCGTCAGCCTAGCTCACAGCAACCTCAAACTCCTGGGCTCAAGCGATCCTCCTGCCTCAGCCTCCC